TTTGGTTGGTGTTGATGAAAGCAACGAAGTCGGGATCCAAACCTGGGAAGAACAACTGACAGAGAGAAGTGAGGCTGGGCCAATGGACTGATGTGACTATAGCCTTGAACAGTCATTCATTTCTAGCAGTGGAAAGTTCTGAGAAACTTTCTCCACTAGATTTGCTTCCTAGAGAAGGAGCAGTACAGGTGTTCAGCTTGCAACTGTCACCTCTCCACACCTTCCCCAGACCAGGATGATCCCAATCTGGTAAAGGAGTGGAGAACAGCAGCTGCTTCACAACTTGCCATGTGGAGAGTTGAACACCACTGGAAAGCTCCTCACCCATTCCCTTGACTGAGGAACCCCAGTCTAGAGAATGGGCTGGGAGCTGCGGCAGTTGCTTCTGGAGAGCCTCTCCAAGCCTGGTTTTTGGCCCTGCTCCTGCCACCCAGCTGGACCCAGCATAGTGGGACCTGACAGTGGAGCCTGAGGGTTGCTGGAGAGCAGAAGAGTTTTCATGCCTGCTGCAGTCAGCTCTTGGGAGCAGCCAGATGGAGCAATTTGGGGAAGAGGTGGAAAGTAGCAGGTGCTGTTTCCCTTCCCTCCTGGACAGGTCTGGGAGGGAAGGAGAGCAGCAGGGAAAAGCTAGCATGTTTCAAAACCAGGCTGTTGGGCTTCTTACCTTTATTAACACAATGATAAAGCTATTCAAGATTGTGTTCACCCTAAAGCAGCCAAGCAGATGACTAGGGCACAGCAGATGGGATGGGCCCTACCTCCCTGGTCTGTACTGGGACCTCCCAGCTGGGGCCACACAAGCCTTGTGAGCCACAACATGCCCTTTCAACCCCAAATTGTCCTGCATCTCTCCTCCCCTGTTCACTTGCAGCCTTGCCCCCAGCTTTGATGTGACTGCATATCCCACTTGTGTTGTGGATGCCGTAGGTTGGCCACCCCATTCTAAACAAAAGGTACACACACAATCAAAAATCACATATCTTAATGCTCAGTTTTATTAACAGAAAGTTAATTTTAAGGAGGTCACTGCTAATTAAATCTACAGGATTTGTACACTCATAAAATTAGAGGATACAGTTATAGCAAGAGGTAACAAATTTAAAACAAACAAAAGGAGAGCATTTTTTTTAACTTGGCATGTAATTAACGTGTGGAATTCATTGGTACAAAATGGTGTACAGGCTGATAATTTAGCCAGGTTTGAAAAAGTGGGACAAATTTATTCAGGACAGGTTCATCAGTGGGTATTAAACATGATAGTTAAGGGAGTAGCCTGCCAATTAGGACTTCCTAGTCCTCTAAATACTGGATGCTGTAAGGGGCAAAGAGTAGGCAACAGTCAGTCTGGATAGGCCCTGAATGTATTCTCTTCTCTTTAGCTTCTACTCTGTCACTGAGAGGTACAGGAATGATATCAGGATGGACTGAACTAGATGGACCTATGATCTAAGCCAGGATGACACTTCTTATGCTTTTGTGTGCTTAACATTAACATAAGAATTTTTCCTTGCCATTATATGTTTATGTAGTTCTTCCATCAGGATTTGGCTTAGATACTAACTTTCTCTGCCAGATCATGATTCCCTCTTTCAAATTCATGATGGACTTTTTCAGTCCACATATGCCCCTTGGGTCCTCAATAATTAATTGGTAGTAGTAAGGTGCTTAATGGGGGTGGAGTAACAGTAGATTCTTACCAACTTTTTGTACTTTTATGTCCGCAGATCCACTTTTCCTCTTGTTTACAGTTTAATAAATACATTTGAAATCATATGAATGACCAGACCTGCCCCAGTCTGACAGATTTATTATTTATTGCATGTATAGACCACCTTTCCAACAAAGGCTTATGACAGCTTGCAATAAGAAAATAGAGTAACTTATAAAAGACGAGAATAACTATAAGAACAAAACAACTTGAAAGCAACTAGAGATTGTTCCCTTAACAAATAGAGTTGAAATAAGATGAAACATTGAGGCATAGATATAAATGGCTGAAGCTTTGTGTAAGACCAGTTTTTACAATGTAAAGAAAGGGTTCTTTAGTGATATTCACCTGTACAAAAATATAGTATGGGAAATAATTTATGGAACATAATCAAGTGGAAATCAGCAGATTTAAAAATTGTCAGAAATAAAACTGCAAAATTGAGTGATTTCTTAAATGTTAAAGTTGGAGGAAAAAATTTGATTTCAAGAACCTACAGTGTTTCGTATGTAATGTGTGTAAGGAAACATGTTTGCCTATACACATTGGAGTGTTGTCCTCTGTTTTTTTACAAAATGGATGAGGGGAATGATGTGGGAGTAAACACAGATATCCATTGAATTTATTTTAACCTTACATTGCAGAAAGGTAGGTGGCAGGCTGTTACTTCAGAACATAGCTGCTCACAGTCTGGATCCATTTACAGTGGATTAAGCAATATATTCCCAGTTCTTTTGGCATGTAGTTACTTGACAGACTGAATTGTTTCGTGTAGCAAGTGAGCAGTTCCATAGGAGAAAATGTAAACGTACTTGTATGCTTTACTCATTCTTTGAGGATCAAAAGGATGGCCTTATATCCCTGCTGCCTTTTCTAATCTGTCCTGGAACTTAAAACTAGACTGTTAGTTTTTGTTAAAAACTATGCTAGCTTTGAGTGAACATCTTCTGGTTTGTATAAAGTCTTTACTTGCTTTCTTTACTTGCTTTTAATGATATTCTTGACTATTTACTTCATTAGACCCTTTTAAATTTTGGTATTGCATTCATTTTAGTCTCCTTCACTTCCTATTTCTGAACACTGTATTTTTTGATCATCTCCCCTTCAGTGGCCATGGAAATGCCGTGGTAGAAATGCAATCAAAAGACTACATTCTGCTGTTCCATCAGCATAAAATAAAAGTCACTCCGCTGACTTCATAGTTAGGTACTTTCAGGCAGAATTTGGCTCCAAAATATCTGCTTTTCTATAGCACTTTTTATTGAGAGATTGCAGCCTTCATGTAATAATATAAAAAGGAATGTCAGTGTCTGTGTTTTAGTATGTTCCATTTCACAACTTAAAATGATTTAAGATCTGTTTAAATTGATTTATATAAAGGGGAGCAGAAAAGATTTTTTTTAGTTTTAAACAGGGAATTTTGAAAAGTGTTTAATTGGGTATATAGGTATTCAAGCAATTTGTCACTAATTTTGGCAAAGAAGATTGTATTTTTATGATGGAATTATTTATAGTACTTCAGAAAAATGTTGCATTGACAGCCCATGTAACTGGTAAATGGTGGGCAGTATACCTCAACTTGTAAGCCTGCAAGTGAGAGCAGCACCTGAAATGTGGCAAATGATCAAAATGTTGATCAATACCTGGGGGAGGCAGCCCATTTCATCATGATTGTCTGATTGTAGTATTCATTCAGAATAGAGCTGCTAGGATTATCTTTCTGGGTTGTTACAGAGATCACCTCCTTCCAGTGGTGTCCTTTTCTCTACTTCAGGCATAAGTTTCTTCTTACTTTACAACAGCTTCATCAGCTACTTCTGCCATACCTTCAGTTACTTTTAAATCGAATCCTTTCTGAAACAGTGTTACTGAAATAATGTCTTACTACACAGACTTGCACATTCAGTCAACATTTGATCTTCTACATAGAAGAAACTTTACGTAAAGAAGAAACCAAAATTTTCCTTGAATTAAGAAGCCTAGAATTGCACTTGTAATTGATATTTTTCCCTTTGACTACTTTAAATCTAAAACTTTTAGTGATAACTATTAATAATAAATGGCCATAGTGAAACAGGAAACGGTTACCTGCCAGTTTTGTTGTCTCACTTACCAAGTGTTAATAGTTGTTGCTTTTTGCCCCCTTGTGTCTTGATGAGTTTGTGCAGAGGCTGTTAAGATGAATAAAATGCATGTACCCTGTCCAGATACTGTTTCCTCAGGCAGCTGTTCCTATTAAAGTCAAAGGAAGTTCTGCCTAAGCGAGGAGATCAGGATTAAACATGATTAAAGTTTATATTTAATAGTTCTCTTTTACATTTTTTTTCTCCATAAACAAACAAGCTGGCTAGCAAATATCGTTAGGTGTTACTGTCATATGTATTGATAAGTACAGACTGAATCTCATGCTAGGTGTTACGCAAACTTAAGATAGTACCAAAAAAATGTACCTGGGGATTTATCTGTACTCCATAGAATAAGCTCCATGGAGTTACAGGGAGACCTATAAAATAACAGAGAAGTTATATGGATAACATAGTAAGGAGTCACTGGAGATCAGGTGGAGACAGGAATGGGACAATGGAGTGGTATGGGGGTTTGGGATGGAGTCATGAATAAGTCTGCAGGTCTGTTTTAATAAATGTAAATGGGGAAGCTGACATTTAGTGTTACTACAGTAGAAGGGGTGATGTAACAAGACTGCTAATAATATATGTAGCACTTGGGGGTGGTTTACAAACAAGACTCCTAACACTTGCAGAATAAGTAAATGTATGTTATCCTTTGGTCTTGAGAGGAGCTGAGTGACCCAAAGTCACAAACGAATAGCTAGTAAAGCTAGGTTTAGAGTCTGGGCATTCTGGTTTCTAGCTTCCTGCTCTACTAGACAACTTAACAGCCTATGCAATTTTTAGAAGAGCAGTATTGAAAGCATGCATATCAGTTTCAAAAGCATGTTCAGTCTTCAAAAGTAGCCATTTTTAAAGTAATACCTGATGTTTGACCTACTGTGTTTCTTCCATGGGAAAAAGTGCACTATTCTGTTACATGTCCGTACAAAGTTCCCAGTCATTTGCATGTCTGGAGTGAGCTCGCACGTTCTTCCTAACAGTTAAAGAGGAAAGTGAGCCATAAATAAAATAATAGAAGAAGGAAATTGTGATTGCTTATTAAATTGTGTGTGCTATGTGTAAGGTGAATTTGGAGGAGTTTAAATGAAAGCCTTTTATGTGGTTCCTAGTGCTCAAAGGTAATACTTCTTTTCTGCATGTTTGTTTTTCTTTTCATTTAGGAATAGACCCTAAGTTAAACATCCTTGAAATTGTAAAGCCTGTTGAAACTGTGGAGGTAGTGATTGATCCAGATGCCCATCATGCTGAGGCTGAAGCTCATCTTGTTGAGGAGGCCCAAGTGATAACCCTGGATGGGACGAAGCACATCACAACCATTTCAGATGAGACTTCCGAGCAAGTGACACGATGGGCTGCAGCTCTGGAAGGCTACCGAAAAGAGCAAGAGCGCCTTGGAATACCCTATGGTAATGCAGTTAAGAAATGCATGATATTAATAAGGGGTGGAGAGTGATGAATTCAAGTGCTTAGATACTGTCTTGACAATTTGCACTGCTGGTGATGAGTACAGTACAGATACCTTGACATAGCAGGGAGCCAGGGTTTCCAGTAATTCTTCCTTCCCTCTCCCCC